CCCGCCGCATCCGGCAGCGAGAAGCCAAAGGAAGGGGGGGCGGAAATACCAAGGGGTGGGGGAAGGGGGAGGTGAAGAACGCCCCGGCGCGAGCAAGGGAATGATTTGCAATGTAAAGGAGGGGAAGGGGGCAAGGGTAGCTCGTGTAATACAGGGAGTAGGTGGCGAGTGCAGCCCGTGCAATGGGGAGGGGGCAAGTACAGTCGTACAATGCGGGGGTTGCAATAAGTTGCACGTGATTAATGCAGCCCCCCACCGGGGGGGCACTGGGAGCAATAAGGGTGGGGGGGGCAAGAGCAGCACAGCTGTGGGGAGGAGTTGGGGAGACTCGCGGGGATTTATTTCACGCTCTCTCCCCCACTTATGCATGGCGTCCGGGGATTTATTTCACACCGACACCCCCACCCCCATCGGGGGTTTCCCAGCCCCGACTCCAGGCAGCAGCAGCGGGAGGGGAAGGGAGGGGTGGTGCTGCCCGGGGGAGCGGGCACATGGAAATCCCCCCCTCCCCCCTCTGTCTCCTTCCCACGCGCGATTTCCTGGGGTGCTTCCTCTTTAAGTGGGCGGGGCGTAGGAAGCGGGGTGCGGAGGCTCCGCCCCCTGGTGACTGTTTCCATGACTATGGGTGGGGGGTGAAGATGGCGCGAGAAGGTGGGGTTCCGAACGCCGCGGGCGCTGGTGTTCCAGGAAACGGTGACGTAGGCCGCCCTGCGCGTCCTCCTACCATATTAGGGCAAAGGGGGGTGGAAGCCGGGAGCTTCCTTCCGTGGGCTCAGAAAGAGGAACCCCTCTTCCTCAGCCCCCTCCCGCGACACCTGGACCCTGCAGCGTCATTGTTCCGCCCCCCGCACATGGACTGCCCGCCCTCGCCTGGACCCACGGACAGTGCAACTGCTGCGGCCTCGGCACGGACCGCCCGACACCCTGCGGGCCGCGCACCTGACCCCTTACAGCCTCGCTGCGACAGCCCCGCGGTACCTCCCCTGCAGCCGCTGCTACAGGCTCCGACACAGCCCGACCACTCGGGACCCCGTCCCCCTGCACTCTCACCGCGGCAGCCCGAACCCCCACTACACCGACCCCTACAGTCCTACTGGGCACGCACAGCCCCACAGTCCCTTTCCTCCTACAGCCCCCAGTGCCCTCCAGTCTGGGCACCCACAGCCCCGCTGCACTCTCACTCCACACTGTGACTGGGTACAGCCTGCCGCTATAGCCCTCAGCCACCACAGCCCAAGTACAGCCCCGGGCAGCCACGTACAGTCCCCAGTGCGGGCACCCACAGCCCCGCCCCACAGCGCGACCTGCCCCTACAGCCCTCAGCACAGCCCGAGTGCCCCTGTACCCCCTACAGTCTGACCCGCCACCATAGCCCTACTGTCTTATCCTCCTACACCCAGTCTGGGCACCCACTGCACCTCCACCCCTCAGTGCGACTTGAGTGCAGTCCCCCCTACAGCCCTCAACCCTACACAGCCGAGTGCACCTGTACCGCCTACAGCCTGCCTGTCTTCACCCGCCCCACAACAGCCCCCAGCAGCCACGACAGCCTCCACGCACAGCTGGACTGGGCGCAACACCCCGCAGGGGCCCCATCAGCCCCAGATCAAACAGCAACAGGGAAGAGCTGCCCGGGGCGGGGCAAGCTCCTGTTGCGACCAGTCCTACTGGTAGGACTGGAATTCAAGGGCGTCGGGGGAGTGGGAGGAGACTGGGAGTGAGGAGGGAGGGTCTGGGAGCCCGGACGCCTGGGTTCTACCCTCAGGTCCGGCAGGTGCCCGAGCACCGGGGGGTCTCTGCTTGGCCCAGCAAAGAGAGCTGCAGCAATGCAGCCCCCCTCCCCCGCCAGCACCTGGGGGGCTGTCCCCTGCTGGGGGACACTGAGCTCACAGGCGTGTGGTTCTGCTGCCCCCTAGTGGGCACTGCGGAGACCCGACTCAGCCTTTAGAGCCGGGCATGGACGGTGACATAAAGACGGGGACCCGGCTGCTGTGTGCTGCGTCTTATATGGAGGGTGGATCCAAAGTCCCACCCATGAGTCTCCCAGGCCAGGATCAGGGCCCCTCTCCTGCCCAGACCCCAGCTGAGATAGGGCAATGCAACACCCCCCACCGGCCCAGACACCCCAAGCCCCTCCTCCCCAACCCCACACTGGCAAAACCCAGCCAGGCCCCTTCAGGCTCTCAGTCCACAGAAAAAGCCCCACCCCTTGTGGCCATATCCCACATGGGACTTCTGTGGCACAACCCAGCAAAGGGGGAGGGGGGGGGACTCTCCCCAAAGGCCTTTAACCACCCAACTCCTATGCAAACGTTGCTCCAGGCCCCCTCAGGCCTGATACCTGACCCCCCACCCCCAACCACAGGTGGGCACAGACAGTGGGGTTTTGTTACAAACCTCTGTGTTTTATTAACATTTCTCAATTCCTCTTTCCTCTTTACAGTAGTTCATGTGCAATTTTATTCTCTAGGGGGGGGGTTTGTTGGGTTTTTTTTGTTATTTTGTCATTTTCTCTCTCTCTCTCCAGGGCATGGGAGGGGGGGGGGGGGGGGGGGGG